GAAGCTACTATAATTTCCTAAATATATACATAGAATTAAAAATTCAAAAGCCAGGTGGAGTGACAAGTGCCCTCATCCCAGCCAGCTACTTAGGAGGCTGAGCCAGTAAGGTTACTTGAGCCCAGGAGTGCAAAACCAGCCTGAGCAACACAGCAAAACCCAAAATCAAGGGGGCGGAAGGGAAGTGGAGTCCTGACTGATAGGGCTGGTCCCTTGTGAGGAGAAGAGACATCAAAGCTCTCTTCTGCCGTAAGGACACAGGGAGAAGCTGGCTATCTGCAAGGCAGGAAGAAAACTCTCACCAGGACACAAATCTACCATCATCTTATCTTGGTTCTCCAGCCTCAAGACTGTGAGAAATAAAGTCTTGTTTAAGCTGCCCAGTGTGTGGTCTTTTGTCCTAGCAGCCCTAGCAGACTGAGCTAGGCGCTTAGTGGGTGATGATTGTTGTTGTTTTGTTTTGTTTTATGGTTAAGATAGATCCGAGTATAACATGAGGTGAAAAGGAGCTGGAGGAGGGGCTGGAGTGTGGATCAGTAGTAGAGGATCTACCTACATGTGTGAGGCCCTGGGTTCAATCTCTAGCACTATACAAGGGGGGTGGGGAGAAAAAATGGAAGAGACGAAGAGCAAGAAACTAGAACAAAGGTGGAGGCTTGGAGAGTAAGGATGAGATTGAGAATGAGGAGAGTGGGTAGGGCTGTTCAGAGACATGGAACCTGATGAAGTTTCAGGAAAGTTTCATGGCACAGGGGGACACTCGGGGAACTCAGGAGAGCTACCCATATTGCCACTAATACAGGTCTGCTGAGGAAAGGGGCTAGAAGAGGAAGAGGGGAAAAGATCGAGGGGAAGGATGTGATGGCCATGGACCTCTGTTGGTGGTCACAGGTAAATTTCCAGCTGGCTGCTCTGCATCCCTGGACCCGGATCCAGCCTGTTCAGGGCTGTAGAGGCACGTTCTCAGCAGCCCTCCTGCCCACTTCAGGCTGCTTTGGTGACTAGTGGGATGAAAGCTTGCCTGAACTTGTACTTGTGAGAAGAAGGCTTCTGAATGGTAAGATCAATGTGAAACACTGCACAAGAACTTAATGACAACCTGTGCTTCACTGGGAAACCAGCTGCGTAAGCCTCATGGATGACAGACTCCCACCTGTCCCATCTCACATGCCCTTACGTAGGTGACAATGTGAGGCTTCGAGGAGCAGAAGCAGGGAGATGGCCTCCTCCCCTCTCCATAGGGCAGGACTGTGTGAGGCTAGACAACCTGGCAGCAGAGCCCTGAGCTCCAGGGTGAGACTCAGTGTGTCCACCAGAGCCCTGAGCTCCAGGGTGAGACTCAGTGTGTCCACCAGAATTATCAGTGGATGACCTGACTATGAGATTTCTCTTCCAGTCTATAAATGTCAAAATTGTCAAGTCCAAGGATGCCTCAGGCTTTCTGTGATATTTCTGTGATACAGCCTCATCAGCCTTATCTCTGCTCTGCCCCAACAGCAAACCTCAGGCTTTCCTGAGGTATCAGTGTGCCGCAAAAAGTAAGCACATTACAAATATTTGTCCAAAACCCCACCTATTCTATAAGGCCCTGCTCTACAACTACCTTGTCCGGGAAGTCTTCCTGGATTAGTAGCTCTAAAGCCAGGGTTTCCTCTGAACCTTATTCTATTAAATGCTGCTGTGAGGAAACAAGGGGCAGGCAACACTGTGCCAGGGAGAAGTTAGAAGCCAGAGAATGAGGAATTAGGAGGTGGGGAGTTGGAAAAGTAGATATTTCCAAGCTGAAGAGAGATTATCACAGATGGCAGGGGATGGACATCATGGAGTCGGCAGACCAGAAAAAGGAAGGGTCCAATATGAGGCTGGGCTGCAAAGAACACTCATGGCTGGAGATGGGTTCCAGAGGAATCTGACATTCTTTCAGTGTAGCTGTCTGGCTGCTGCTTGCCTAAGGACCAGGTCTTTCCAGATCAGCTTTGTGATCCTTACCTAAGGGTTCCTTGTAGTCTTGGACCACGTATGTACTTCTCATCCTTACGCTGCCAGGGCCTAAGACTGCACCAAATGAATGAGCCTCTGAAATTCATCCCGGTATTCTCTTCCTCCTCCACTGTGGCCACTTGCTTTCTGGCTGTCTGAGCCACCCCTAACAACCATGGCTCCTATGTCCACAACATGTGCACGCTGACCACTGAGAATCAGAGGGAGAGTTCAGCTGAGTTTCTAGGGTCTAGGGCAAAAAAGAATTGTTGCCCATAATGAAATTTGAAGTATACAAAAGATCTTAAAATAAGTTAGTAAGTAAGTAACTAAGTAAATAAATAAATCCCAAAACCTGGGGCTGGAGTATAGTTTAGAGGTAGAGAGTGTTTTTAGCATGCCCAAGGCCCTGGGTTCAAATGCCAATCCCCAGTACCAAAAACCCAAATGAAACAGAATAAAACCAAAACTACCACCTGCTTAAGCTTAGCTTTTACTGGGTGCTCTAGGATAATTTCTTGAGAATAAATTCCTATAAGTGGGATTTATAAATTAAAAATAAATAAATTAAAAATAAATGTACCCTTAAGTTACTTTTTTTAAGCTATCAAACTGCTTAAAAAAAGTAACTTAAGGGTACAAGTCATTTTCAAGGCTGTTGATATATATTGCCAAATTGCTCTCCAAATTTATATCCCTATAAATCTCTTGATTTATATCCCTACTAGCCATCTGCTATCTTTCCCTACACTGGGATTAGTTTATCATTTTTAGGGGGTGGTTCTTTGCAAATGTGATAGATGCAAATTTAGTGTTCTCATCTGTAAATCATGAAATTATGCTGAATATTTTTCACATCCATACTGACAATGTATATAGGGTAAGTTGTCTGCTTCATATCTTATATCTTCTACTAAATTGTCTGTCTTTTTAAACTGGTATCTGGAGAAAGCGCTTCCTTTATGAAAGAATATGGATTCTTTGCCATACATGTTACTAATATTGTTGGTTGCCTTTGTTTCAACATTATTATATTCTAAAGTTTATCTTCTTTAGGTGATAAAATAAAAATTTTCCTTCTATTCTTCTCTGTGTTAGCCAACAAATATTTGTAATGTGCTTACCTTTTGCCCCACACTGAAATATTCCCATTTTACTGAACAAAGAGAGGTTAAGTAACCTGATCAAAGCCATTGTAGTGGGGCTGGGATGTTGGTGGCCTACAATAAGGTGGTGGTAATAAATGTGGAAAGAAATAAGACAGAAAACAATATCCTAGGAGAAGATCCAGAGTGCCCACACCTGGCAGGAGAAGGAAAATTGACAATCTTGGCCTATCTTTGAGATGCCTCTGGGAGAGTATATTCCAAGGCTCAACCACATCACAGAATCATATTTTTTGCCTACTCGTACACACACCCACACACATAGCTGGAAGGGGAAGAACAGAGGCCAGATTGTGGTTGAGGAGCATCTGTTAGGGAGTCAGAGGAGGCCACACATGGGAGATACCTGCTGGTATGTACAGGCAATGGGGATTTGAAAAATTCCAGGTTGTCCCATTATTACTGAAAGGCCAAGATGGAAAATCCATGGTTAGCAGAAGAGGTATGGCACAGGTGCTCTTGGATATGGCTCTAGGAGACAACAAAGTCTTGGTAACACTTAGGAAAGATTTGGGTCCTATCCAACCTACTGGTGAGTCTCACTGTAGCCAGGGAAGGAGCACTTCAAGTCACAAGCCAGAATAGAGGCTGAGGCTCAGCCACGTGGAATGTGCTGGCTGTGCAGTTAAAAAAAGACAGTCACATCTCCATTTTAGGAAAATTGCAGAGTCACTTTGAGGGTGAAGAACTGAATCCTGCAGGCATAAAGGACAAAGCACAACCCCCAAGTAATTTTGGGATGGGTGATGGGAATGGAACCTAGGGCCTGAAACATGCTAGACAAGCTATCTGCCACTGAGCAACACAACCAACTCCTAGTTTAATTCTTATACTTGCCAAGTAAGTACTTCACTAAGAAAAAGTAAAGTACTGAACGAAGTTTATTCGTTCTGCTGAAGAATGAGAAGGAGTTGTTAGTATAATAAAGAATAGAAATACAGTTTGTTTCTCTCACAGTCTCTTTTTGGGGGGGGCGGGGGTGGACACCATGAATTAAATTCAGAGGTGCTTAACCACTGAGCCACAGTCCTTTCAATTTTTATTTTGAGAAAGGGTCTTGCTAAATTGCAGAGGCTGGCTCCTGTCTCAGCCTCCCAAGTTACTGGATTACCGGCACGTGCCACCATACCTGGCAAATAATCATTATTTCTGAAAATCACTATGATTAGTACCTGAAGTCCTGGTTCTAGACACTCTCAAGCAATTTCCTTACCCAAAAGGTTATTACCCACCACTCAGCCCCACCATGATGCTTCAGGAATTGTGAGAAGCGCTTTATGTATATTACATATTTATGCTCTAAACAATTTATCATCCCCACTTTTCAGAAGAGGAAACTGAAGCTCAAGAACTCTGAGTGTTGGAACTAAAGGTCACTCTCTGTCACACACTGGTCTGTTTGACAGTAAAACCTCATTGTTTTGGCCTTGTCATTTGGGAGCATGTGTTCCGCGGCCCACCTATGTTTGAAGCCACTGTGTCAGAAAGTGAGAAGTAACTGTCTCACCCGGACAAGTACTTAAATCCACACCAAGTAATTTTTAAGATGGTGAAGAATATGAACATTCCTGGAAATAAAGGGTTTTTTTCTTTGTTTTTTTTTTTTTTCTGCTAAAGGGAAAAGGATGTGGGCTGGGGCTGTAGCTCAGTGGTAGAACACTTGCCTAGCATATGTGAGTCCCTGGGTTTGATCCTCAGAACCATATAAAAATAAATAAATGGAATAAAGGCATTGTTAAAAAAAAATCTTTAAAAAAAAAAAAAAAAAGGAAAGGGATGTGGGGAACCTAGAGGGCCAATGGGCCTTGGTTGCCATCAAAGGAGCCACATGGAGTCGGGGCCTGGGATGCCTACCTTGGATTCCATATAGCCGGTTCAGGCGCGACCTCCGGGCCTCATCAGTGTAGGGGACAGCAAGCCAGGGCATCTCACTGAAGTACTGTTTGAATGATTCTTCTGACCTGCAGAGAGACACCCATGGAGAACAAGGTCCTGTTATCCAGAATACACCTCCATTCAGTCCTCCCCACCCATTACAGAGTTGTGCCTGAAGCCCCTATAGGGCTGGGGTTCATGACATCATGCTCCTTGGACACCAGGCAATGGGAATGTTCAGTTCTACCCATTCTGTGTTCACCAAGAAGCAAATGCCTCCACACAGCACAAACTGAAGCACCACCCTGGCCACTACAACATCCCCCTTGCTCACATCCTACCAATTATGCTCATGCCTAGATGTTCATTTTCAACCCAGACAGGTCTTACTATTCCAGGGAGCTCAGACATACACAGCTATTGTATTCCTCGTGATATTTCTACTCTGCATAGGGAACCGTGATGTGTACAAGACCACAATTTAAAACCAAGCATACACCTGTGAGTCCACGTTTAAGAAATTTTAGGGAAGACAAAACTACTCAAGTGATAGTGAGTACATCCGAGGTTTCTTGGATCTGGAATTTGGGGATGAGGACTGATTGATAAGAGCTACAAAGGAATCTTTTGAGTGATGGAGACATTCTGTATCTTAACTTTGACGATGTGATTATATAGGTAAATATATTTGGCAAAACTCACTGAATTGTGTACCTTAAAGGTATTCATTTTATTGTGTAGAAACTATATTTCAATAAAAGTAATGTTGCTTAAAGTTTTTTAAAAAGGGACTGCTCTGCCTGACATGCCTTTAGGCTTGCTCCCACTCTAGGCGCTGAGACAGGGAGGTGTGGAGAGGAACCGTGGGCCATTAAGACAAGCATGGGATAGTGCGGTGCCAAGTTACATAACAATGTGCAAAAGGCCTTCCGCATGCCGGCATCTCAGCAGCCCTTCTGTGAACTGCGTCCTGAGAGACAGAAGTGCCTGGGGACCCAGGCTGAACAGGGCTGGAATTCTGAGTTGAAGGAAGCTTGGTGATGTGAGACATCGGAAAGAGAAGCAGAGGAAATTGAGGCTAAAAGGACCTGAACTTGCTCGGTCTTTCTTGCTTTTGTGATTCAAACAGCCCCCAGACAGAGTGCATGACCGGAGCTAAGAAAATGACTGCATGTGCACCAAGACAGCCGTCACATCCCATCAGGCGCTGGCTCTCTTCCATCCTCCCCACTCTGTATCTTTTCCTCACAATCTAGAAAGCTGTTTGAACAAATTGGAAAACAAATCCAAATCCCAAATGGCCCAGGTCTGGATTGGGATGTGCCCCAGTGTTCACAGCAAGAAGAAATTTTTCTCGGTTCCCTTCAGACAATTATAGGAGCAAATGTGAAATGTATCTATCTGGCCCTCTGCCAAAAGTGCCAGATATGCCTTCCCCAAGTGCTGCCTCCACTCCTACAGCAAGGGAGTAAGAAGTGTACGGTGAAAGAAATGGATGCTAACCACCTCGGGAAAGGGAAGCGGCACCACCCTGCACAGGCACGCCTCACCTGTCTGCGCTAACGAAGATGATCTCAAATTTCTGGCCGGCCTCCTTGATCTTCCGGTAGGATTCCACCAGCACCCGTGTGAGGCTTCGGCAGGGTGGGCACTGAAAGAAAAGAGCAGGACCTTGCTGTGCCATCAGAGGAAGACCCAAGTGGGATTGGGACACAAAAGAGGTGGAACTGAGCTTGCTCCTCTTCATGAACCAACATTCAGCACACAAGGGTCCCCTGCTCTGTAGTGAGCCAGCAGGCAGTGGTTAGAACAGTCCCCTTGGAAACCCTTAAAGGCTCATGTGAATGGGTTAAGGGGAATATTCTTTCAGATCAATCAAAAGAAGTCATTTTGGGGGCTAGGGATTTAGCTCAGTGGTAAAGTGTTTACCTAGCTCGCACAAGGCCATGGGTTCTATCCCCAGCACTGAAAAAAAAAATTTTTTTTAAAGTTAGTTTCTTGCTGCTATGATCATTTACAACATTAAGCACTAATTGCATGCCAACACTGCATCAGGAGCAGGAGAAGACAAGAAGGCCAGAGATTTCCTGCCAGAGCAGACACCCCCAGATGCCAACCACAGCTAAGCTCAGTGGTGACATCAGTGCTCTTATTTGTCTGGACTTAGGGGGGGACCAACCACTCACCCAGTGTGCCGAGAAATAGACTCCCACGTGAGACCCCTCCAGGCTGCTGCTCTCCAGGGACTGCCCATTATTCCTAAGTAAGGGCCCTGCGATGACTTCCCTGAAGGGCTTAGGTCCCCACGGGAATTCCAGACCTGAAAAAGCAACAGATGGCAATGTTAAGACTCCTCCTTATGGTGAGGGGCCCAGCAGCCACTGAGCTGCAGGCAGGACAACTTCACCATCAAATGCTATCTATTAACACAGCCATGGGATATGCAACTCACAGGAAACAAAAGAACTCATCCACTACCTGTGGGGCAACAGCTCCCAAGCCTGCATGGGGCCACCTCTGGATACAGAAGCAAGGCTGAGGACAAAACTGAGCAGACTCCCCAGGTAATTCTGATGGTGGGGCAGGGCTGCGAATCCCTGCCTCAGGCGTTAACCACAAATTGATGCAATCTAAATTCTAGCATCTCAGGCATTCTCAATGCTGACCACATGTTAAAATCTACTGGGAAATTTAAAAATATAATGCTCCGGGGCCCCATCCCCAGAGAATCTGATTATATTGGTCTGGGTTGGAGCTAAAGGAACCAAGTGAGAATTTAAGTCTAATAAAAGGAAAGATTATAACCCACCCAACCCAGATGGTCAACATTCTAATAACACTTAAGCTCCTGGCGGAAGAGTAAATAATATGCTCTCAATTCTATAGAAAAATATGTTCTTATAGGGTGGTCTGTGGCCCACTGCCTCAAAATTGCCTGAGGGATCCAGGACTAGAGGGAGAAGTATAGACCAGTTTTAAAAAATGCAGGTGGCCAAGCCCACCCTGAAATAAAATAATATGAAAATCTCTGGGGAGCCAGGCTTGGTGGTGCACGCCTATATTCCCAGCGACTCTGGAGGCTGAGGGAGGAGGATTGCAAATTCAAGGCCAGCCTCAACAATTTAGTGCCCCACCCCCCCCCAAGGATGTGGCTCAGTGTCTAAGTGCTCCTGGGTTCAACCCTTCTAACCAAAATAAAACCAAAAACAAAACAAAACAAAAAAACTCTTGATTCCAATCTTTGGGGTGTATGTGTGCATGTATATGTGTACGTGCAAGTGTGTTTAAATCTTCACTGCAACACAGATAGCAATGAAACCATGGTGAGAAA